ACCCTCTGGGGCAACAGGAAACAACTCTATATCATCCTCTATATGACAGCCCTTCAAGTACTTGAAGATGGTTATCATATCACCTCTCAGTCATCTCTTTTCCTCATAGAACTTGGTCTCCAGACCCCTCACCATCTTTATTGCCCTCCTCTGGACACATTCCAGCTTGACTATATCCTTTTTAAATTGTGGTGCCCAAAACTGAACACAGTACTCTAGGTGAGATCTAACCAGAGCAGAGTAAAGCGATATCATCACTTCGCAGGATCTGGACACTATACTTCTTTTGATACAGCCCAAAATTGCATTTGCCTTTTTAGCTACCACATCACACTGCTGACTCATGTTCAGTGTATGGTCTGCTTGTTTTTTCTTGTAAGATTTTTTTCAGACTCCTACTCGAACTTACACTCCTCCATTTCAAGAACTTAACATCTAGCAATATTTGATTTAAATACTGGGTATTAACTTTTTATTAGCTTACATGCCTCAGTCAAAACTATTTGTGGCTTGCTATTACAGAACCTGCTTTACATATAGAAGGCCTTAGGGTCAGTCCTCAGGAAGCAGATATTGAGAAAAACCCTGGAGAGCCGCTGCCAGTCAAAGTAGACAGTACTGGTAGACCAAAGGCCCAACTCATTCTCAGACAGTGTAATATGTTTGTAAGTCTTTTTATAAGTCTTTGACCAACTACTACCATTATGAATTATTAACCATTTATTGGAACTCTTGCAGTGTTTGACACCTGACAAAAGAACTAAAAATATTCACTGAGGCAAAATAATTCTGTCACATTTGAAATCTTGAGGTCAAAGTTCAGAGTCAAAATCTGAAATATTTTGAAATTATAAAAATCTATTTCAGCATTGCCCTTGACCAAATATTCTTCTCGAAACTTTTCCAGCTTGTCAACACCCTTTTTGAGTAATGCTCAGAAATGAAGTAAGCACAGTTCATTGGCAGAATATTTATTCTTGCGCCAACTTTGTTCCTTATAAACTTGTTTTCGTCTTGACAGCATATTTTTCTGCTAAGTAATCATATTGTGCTCATCTAATACATTCATCTTCTGCTTATTCTCCATCTCCTATCTCTTTTTCATCATATCTTTGCTGAATATTCAAGTGATGAGGTTGTTGTACACTGCACCTCTATAATTATCCCTGTTGCTCCTACCAATTTTCCTCCTCCTCCTCCTCCTCCGCCACCACCACTACCTACATCTCCTTCTCTTAAACTTATCATTTATCACATTGACCAGATTTCTTTCAACCTTTCTTTTCTACTGCTTCTTCTCTTTTGCCACCTCTTATTATACTGGAGAAGACCCTGATGCTGGGAAAGATTGAAGGTCAAAGAAGACGGGGACGGCAAAGGATGAGATGGTTAGACAGTGTCATAGATGCAACGAACATGAAGTTGAGCAAACTTCAGAGGACGGCGGAAGACCGGAAGGCCTGGCGTGATCTGGTCCATGGGGTCGCGAAGAGTCGGACTTGGCTGTGCGACTGAACAACAAAAAATTATACAAGTGCAATGTGTTCTGTCACAACTGCTCTCTTGGTCCCAAGCTGCCCTCGACTGAGGTTTACCAAGAACAAAGGGGGGTTGGTTGGGTTTTTTTAAAAAAGCCTTTTCCTTTCTGACCCCCATCCCCATTTGCCTGTGATTATTACTCTGGATGTTGAGTTGCCACCAGCAAGAGAATTCCCCTCCCCCTTTTAGGCTTTTATCCTGGCTGTCTTGTCTATCAGTAAACCTTCGTTGGTTTTAAAGGTGCCACTGGACTCTAAATTTGTTCTATTGCACATCAATAGTCTAGGAACAAGAGGGGGGGTGGGCAGGCGGGCTGTGTTTCCCTGTCTGTCCTGACCTTCAGCACTGGCTCCTTCTAAGTAGCAAAGCAAAGCAGCCCGTGACGAAATGTGGTTAGGCTTTCCCTAGGCAGTGCATTCACACCCAAAGATCATGAATAAAATAAATTGTTAATAACTAAAGATGAATCCTGTGGGAACACTCTAAGAGATGGTTGCCTTACAGATTCCATAATGAAGCTTCATGCAAAATACATAGGGATCTTGGAGTGAAATAAAATTTCCTCTCCTGCTGCACCAGCCTTTTTTCTGCTCTTCAGAGAGATGGATTGAGAGAGATTTTTTTCCTGTCTTTTTCAATCTATTTGCATCTACAATCTTTTAACATGTTGGTGTGGTGTGGTATACCCCACATCTAAAGGCTGCCTTCAGCCACCATTTAATCAATGGAAAGATGGAGTGTAAATAGTTTAACAAACAAACTGCAATCCTAAAGACACTTTCTTTGGAGTAAGCCCCACTGAATAGACCTGAGTACGATTCTGAGTAGACCTGCTTAGGATTGCTCTCAAAAAGGTCTCTTCTGGACCTGTTCCTTCTAACTTGAAGCAAGCAGTTGTTTTGAGAAATCTTTAAAACCTTTACCCACCTTTCACTCACAAGCCCCCCCCCAATTCTGGAGTGCCTTGTTTATTCCCAACATCTTCCATTAATTCTGTCAAAATCTTGTTTGAGACATATCCATCTAGGTTCTACTCATTTCATTCCAGTAACACTGCTTTGAAAAATTCCAGATAATCTATTGCTTGTGAAATTGCGAGTCCTCTGTCTGTTCTGAATCTCTTAGGGCAGAAATGCACATTAAGTTCTATGATTATTTAATGGGAGTTTTTATACAATGAAACAGCTGAGGATACAGTTTGAAATGGGAGACAGGAATGTGGGGAGAGAAATTCTTTTTATCTCTTTCTCTTTCAGCTTTTTTCCCACTGGAAACTGACCCCACCAAGTTGATTTCACCCCTTCTAGAGAAAACACAGGGGTATCTATATTTCTTTCCCTCAGCAGATGTCAAGGTAGCTTGGTAGAAGATCTTTCTCTGATGGGAAAATCTCCAGATGAACCTCTGTTGCTTTTTATCTGTGCTTTGATTCCTTTCTATTGCCCTCTTCATTTTTTTCTGATAATGTTTCCTGTGCTGTCTTTTGCATATCTCTTTTCCTTCTTGATTGCACCGTCAGGCCCATAGCCAGGATTTTTTCATTGGGGGGCATGTAAATTTCTTTGGGGGCAGCAATACCATGCATTTTATTCCTTCCTTCTCCCCATTCTTTATGCTCCTTATCAGACTGTGAGCCTGCAGACAAGGATTGTTGCAATTTTAATATCTATTGTATGTGTTGTGTTAGGGGGAAAGATAAATTAAAGATGACGATGATGAAGAAGAAGAAGAAGAAGAAGAAGAAGAAGAAGAAGAAGAAGAAGAAGAAGAAGAAGAAGAAGAAGAAGAAGAAGAAGAAGAAGAAGAAGAAGAAGAAGAAGAAGAATTCAGTATTCCAAATGTGGTGTCAATAGCTGCAAGCAAAGTGCTACTAAAATCTATAACTGGCCTATTGAACCACAAAACAGAAGTCCAAGAGTGGCATTTATTGAACTATAGCATCAGGGCTAGGCTTGGTATTTGTTCTCCTTCTTAATCTACCCAACATTTATCACCAATTTTAAACGTGTGTTTTAATTTTTTTCAGATTATGTAAAATGAGAATGATATTGATTTATTCTCACAGCATTAAGTAGGGAAAAAACAGTATGTTTATAAAGGGATCTACATGCACATAAAACTGGAAACATTTATATTTGGTTAGGGATTATAGCATTGCTGTGAATCAAAGCCATACAGAAAATTAAACTTGATGACATTAAGGTTGTGGTCACACACGCCAGAAAAAATGGGGCGGGGGGAAGCGAGGCTATTTCCTTCGGAGGAATTTGACCCGCAGTTGCACAATCATACAGTCCTTGGAAGCTGTGGGCACAGCCCACCACTGCGTGATCAGACGCAACCACGGTTTTTTTTGCCGTTTGCTTCCAATGTGCTTAAATAAGGAATCAATTAATCGCATCTCCGCACTGAGGGCTCCCTATGGAATTTGCGATGATGCACATACTGAGAAGGGGGGGGAACAATGGCAAGGAGTCGGGATGGCCTGATCAGACCATCCCTACGCCATGAGAGCGTGCTGGAGCGATCAGACAGTGGAACATCCATCCGTGACCTGTCGCAACCTGTTTTCTACTGGATTTTCCCCGGTGTCTTTTAACTCCGCTTCTGTGGCAGACTGGGTTGCCGATGGCTGTGGGGCGCTTCCCAGATGTTGTTGTCTGATCATGCCTTTAAATCCACCCGGCATTCACGCTTATGGCAGGTCTAATTGTGCATATGATCACAGCCTACGAAAACATAGCCAGCTCAAAAAGTAACTGCTTCTTACCTCCCATAGCCATCCTGAAACTCCCGTGTGTTTATGTACTGTATTTCTATATCACTTTTCCTCATTGCTCACCATTGTTTACACTTACAGAGTTTTAAAATATTAACTCAATTAAACACCATTAAAACCAAATCAGGAAAAAGCCCACCTGAACAATACAACCTTAACATTACTGCCTATATCGGATGAGAGAAGAGGCAGTTCGTACTTCACCTGGCAGCCCATGCCATAACAATGGGGTGGGCCATAGAAGACATTCTTGGCCTGGCAGTCAAAGATCTCACCTTCTTTGGGAGAGGAAAAGGGGGGAAAGAACAAATCCTGTTGTGAGAATCAAGTGCGGAGAGGTGAAAGCAATCAGCGGAAGTAGTAATTTTAAATTGTGAAATATTTATTTTTCAACCATGTATAGAAAGAAGCATTCCAAACACAGCTGCCCACATCCAGTGATTCTTTTGAGAGCATGCTCATGGAGGGTGTATCTATTCACATCAATAGAAATGACCGCCGCAGAGTGATGCAGTCATAGTGCTTCCCCCCCCCAATCGTTTAATGGGTCAACCTACCTCTGTAGAAATCTATGTCCAAGCACACATGGAGCTCTGAATCAGAGGTGCAAATGTTGTTGTTGTTGTTTTTGGCTTGGTTGATATCTTTGTTCAGTAATTCATCTCCTTTTTTCCTTCCACAGTGGCATGGCCGAGCAGCCAGCTTTGACAGTCAAGGCTCCTGTCCCTCTCCCAAACCACCTTCAACACCGTGATGCATCGAGTGGTGACTCCATCTAGACTCAACCATGTTCTTTCACTTTGTTTTGGTTTTTCCCCCCCACATGCCCTGAATTCTAAGCAACCTGTTGCTGAGTAACAGCAGAACTGGACAGCCAACACTGAGATGACTTGTTCCTGCAGTGGCAAAGGCAGCAAAGCTGTTTTGTGGTCCGGTATATCTTTGTTGTTTGTGTCTCTCAAAGTGATATTCTCTGTGGTTTTCACTTTTTGGATGAGGTTACCTGGACAAATGAAGGATGAATGAAGCGTAGGCTGGAACCGTGTTCTGTAAAATAACATGTAAAATAGCTATTTGTGTATGTATGGACAGGTCACAGAGAAATCTTGACCTTCTGCAGCGAACTACATAGATTTAAGAAGGAAAACATATGAAAAAGATGAGAATTAAAAGCAAGATAGCCGTGATTAGAGTCCTTGTGACATGTGAAGAACACCCTTTTGTTATTGTGATCAGTGATAAATTACAGATTTTCTTACCCATACTGTGTCGTTCATGGAGTCTGTGCGGTGTGTATCTCAGCCTGCCCTTTGGTGTATTTTAAAGAGTTGCTGATTCCTCAGGGAAAAAAAATAACAATTTTCTGTATTTACATTCTCCAGAGAATCTTTTGCATGAGCTCAGTTGCTTCAGGCCCTGCCCACTCCTGCTGCAGTTTAAAGCTGGTTACAGCTTTGAGAATTAAAAAAAAAACATTAAAAAACTAAAAGTGATTTCCCATCCATTTTTTCTTCTTGAGAATGATGAAAAATTCTGTATTTATTGAGATGTTGTTACTTCCTGAACTGCTTTGTCTTGATTTTCTAAACCATTTTCAATTAGTCTGGCTTTTTGGCAAAGAAAAAAAAAATTAAGCATTTGCCATGGTTAGGTAAGAGCCGGAATGTTGTGCCTGTTTGTAACTTTTTTCTTTTAAATTTGGGAAATGAGAAAAATTCCTTTTATTGGAAAAAATGTGCTATAGAATTTCTGGAAATGTTCCGAAAAGGTGTAATTTCTGCTGTTTCTCATTGCATTTGTGGAATTGCAGGGTAGTCCCATGACATTAACACTGATCTGATCTGAAGGGATGTCTACAATGCAAGTTGAATCATTTTGGTGCCATTTGGCTTACATAGCTTCCAGCGCATTTACCAGTTTGGTGTAGTGATTAAGAGTGGCGAACTCTAATCTAGAGAACTGGGTTTGATTCCCTACTCCTCCACTTGAAGCAGCAGGGTGACCTTGGGTCAGTCACAGTTCTCTCTGCCCAAAAAAATAAACTTAGCTCACCACAAAGTAGAGCTAGAGTTTCAGGCTGCCAGACATCTCCTGGCTATACTACACCCACTGCCATATGATAATTAATTAATTCGTTTGCTCCTATCCTGCTCTTGGATCTGTCTCTCCTTTCCTTATGCTGCAGTGTCTACATGACTTAGGTTATATAACATAGACTGCTTTCAGACATTTTTGCTCTGCTCAGTTGTTCCTTTCCCACAGTCAACTGAAAGTGTAATCGCAATTGAGATTTCACACAGCATTCAGTAGGATTGGATCCAGCCAGGCTTTTCACTCAACCTACAGCCCTTGTGATACATGGCTTTTGTCCCTACAGGTCATATGATCCTCAGCATACTATTTTTGGTGGCCAAGGGAGACACTCTCTTCTCTTTTTACTGGTGGGAAAGCTGGTTGAATCCAACCAAAAGTGCTGTCTTCTCTTAAGAATCCTGAAATGCCTCTCCCCATGAACAAGATCCTGTTTACTCCAGAGTAAATTCCATCTAGGAATTTCTACCTTTCCCTGCAATTTTCCTTTTGTTCCTTGGTTTATAGGCTGGCTGGATCCAACCTTTTATTTACATTCTACAACTGACTCATTGATTATTCACTCTTGTTCCCCAAAGGAAGGACAGGGCTTAAGTACTACTATACAACTTGTAGTCAAATCTATTGCTTCAGATTTTCTCTCTTATTTTTCTATTAACATAATTTTGTAATATTGCTCTAATAAAATTTTAAGATATTGAGGATTGCTTTGGCTACAAAGTAAAAAAGCAGTACTTAACCTCCTTACAAAAACAAGACAAAGATTAAGTAATAATTGATTTGTGAATGCTTTACATCCTAAGTCAGATGAGAGAAGAGGAAATAAAGTCAGACAAGAAGCAGAGGAGGAAAATTTAAAGGAACAGTAGACCTCAGAATCTTCAGTAGTGTTCTGACTGTCTACATTGGACAGCCTACAGCTGCAATGTTTTTGTTGTTGCTTCTAATCACCATAAATCTGGTCTGAATGAAAAACTGTGAATGCAGATGGATTGTTAACAATTCCGTCTAGATATCCCATTAAAACTGAGTGAACGAATGATGGCAATTTCAGGTTAAGTGGGTAGAGTGGAAAAAACTATAACTGTCTCTATGATTTTTTTGCATAAGGTTTATATCTCTGACTCTTGCCTTTTAAAGACTTTTTTTGTTTAATGCTCAGGAGACAGGCACAACTGCAGGGTTTGACTGCACCCAAACAGCATGATTACAATAAGCTCGTGCTGTAGATTTTAGAAAGTGCTACTTCAGATCAAGCTTGCCACATATATTACAACCAGTAGTGTGAGAGTTGTTGTGACAAGCCATTCTGGGTAATGTGGGTGGGGCCTATGATGCAATTACAACTCACACCAGCATCATAAACTCCCAGTATATGTACCATGGTGCAGCACTAACCATGACAAACTGCTAATGTGAACAATGGTAGAACTGGAGAAGCATGTGCATTGTGGCCTTGTTACTCCATATGCAGAACCAAAAATAAAACTAGATATATTTTTAAAACAGTAGCACTAATCCAAATGAATTCCAAATTAAAACCTTTTCCATTTGCTTTTTGTAGCAAAAAAAAATCCCTATTCTTTATGCAATGTTTAATGTTGAATTAAAACGCAGTGAACTATCTAAAGAAAGCAAGGCTTCCATGAAATCAATAGAACTAAACCGTACAGGTAAGCCATCTTTCTGATTAATTCTAAAGGGAACAGAGAGGGATGTGCCCAGCTTCCTCTGGTTTTCAATCAGTCCAGTCCAGCAAAGTTGATTCCTGCCTATGATACCTTGCACCTGATGGTGTATTTACTGTGCACTAGCAAATAGATTATCAGTGCTATCAACTCTAATTGTCCTGGTCACCTGTTCAGGGGGTAGGAACCAAAATCCAGGTGCAGTCAGATTTAGGGTCTCTGGATTCAGGATTACTGACTACAATCAAGTTCATGGTCACATTGCCATTGATTTCCATGGGCCACAGCTATGACCTTGATTGCTGCCAATTCTTACCTATAAGATTTCTTATGTTTTTCCTTGCATACTTTTTTTTAAAAAAAATGATAAAATATTTCATTATTTCTTTAGAGTATTATTTAAAATATTTTGCTTTGAGACAATGTGACATGGGAATGGCTAAAATATCTACAAATTGCCATTGTACATGTCCATTCAATGAGGTTTACAGTGTTCCCTCTAAGCTGAGTTAGTGTGAGCTAGCTCAGTTTTTTAGCCTCTGGCTCACACATTTTTGTCTTAGCTCAGGAAGGATGGTTCCAGAGCAAACTAATTTATGCAGTAGCCAAATCACCTGCTCACAACTTTAATACCAGTAGCTCACATAGTAGAATTTTTGCTCACAGGACTCCATAGCTTAGAGGGAGCATTGGCTGGAAACCAAGCCAAACCATTAAAAAAAACACCTCACCTTAAATTCAACATCACTCATTATCAATACTCACTGATCTAAACTTTCCAGACCTTTGCAGGGGAACTTTGTTCAGTGAAAGACCATCCTGTTTTAGCTCCTCACCACACCTTGTGTCTTAATTTTCTTTGTATGTGCCACACGCTACAGGAGCATCAGTTCAATAAAATGACTTTTTTGGAACCTCTTGTTCAGTGAAGTAATGTATTTTCTGTCCCTTATGGGGATATTTATTTAAAAACACGATGGTGACCAATGAAAGGAGAAATGGAATGAATTACATATGACATCCAAGTTGCTATACCAAACAATCACCAGCTTTTTGGCAGAGAATTTTTTTAAGGTAGTACTAGTTCGATCAGATGGGAAGGCGGTATGGTATAGCCTGATCTCGTCAGATGTCAGAGCTAAGCTGAGTCAGTATTTGGAAGGGAGACCACCAAGGACAGCTCTGCCGAGGCAGGCAATAGCAAACCACCACTGCTTCTCACTTGCCTTGAAAGTCCCTTACTGGGGTCTCTATAAGTCAGCTGTGACTTGACAGCACTTCACACACACACTAGTTAGATTTTCATAGGATGTTTCATAGCAACAGGATGTTTCGATGGCAGACTCTTGAACACAGAACACCCAAGGAGCGATAAAGAGAGAAAGCTTTAAGGAACCCAGGTTAACTCAGGTTGCCTAGAAATTCTGAAAACTACCCGCATTCAGCTCTTTGGAAATGTCTTTTTTTCGGTCCTAAAAGAACTGAACAATGTTAAAAAGTTGAGTCATTACCCTGACATTTTAATGCAACCCTCTGGATGACCTAAAAATGAGTACTATTAGTGCCTCAAAAGCAGTTCTGAACATGATATGGAAACACTCTTGGACTCCTCGTGCACAAAGTGAATAGGACTGCCAACTTCATTTTCTGCAGAGCTGCTGCCTGGCATACAGAAACGCAGTAGCTGTCATGGAACTCAAGTAATGACAGAAGGTGTAACATCCTTGTTATTTTCTAAAGCATGTGGATTTTACCACAGGAATCCTCCAAGGAAAAAGAAAAGTGGCAATACTAAGACTGCAGGTTTGAATGGAGAATGTGCCCCCCCAAAAAATGTTTCTTTAAGAATTTTGGTCCCCGCCCTGCATGGGAGAGGGGGAAAGCTTTGGCCATGCCTCCCATTGGAAGGAATGGAAGACAAGGCAAGTTAGGGACAGCATGGCAATTTAGGAACACATGCACTAATGGGGGTAGG